GCGGGGGAGGAGACGGGTGGTGAGGAGGAGGGTTCTGGGTGGACTGGAAAACGGTCACAGGCGCGCCCATGCCTGCTGCTGCCATGGCGATCTGGGGAGTGGGGGGTGCTGGCGCTGGTTCCGTTTCCCTTGGTTCTCTTGGTGGTGGAGGTGGCGGGGGAGGAGTCGGATGGTAGGGAGGAGGGTTCTGGGTGGATTGGAGCACAGTCGCTGGTGGCCCCATGCCTGCTGCTGATGCGGCTGCCATGGTGATATGAGGAATGGGAGGTGGTGCTCCCTCTGCTCCTCCTCCCCTGGCTGTTGCCTTTGTCCTTGTTACTGCTACTGTTGCTGAAGCTCCTCCTGCTACTCCTTCTGCTGCTCTCCCTGCTGTTCGTCCCGCTGCTCCTGCTGCAGTGGCTGCAACTGCTGCTGTCGTGGCTGTTGGCGCTGCCAGGGAGTAATCCTCATGTCGCTGACGCTGCTGTGTCACGCCACTGATGTGGCTGAGCAGAAATGCACGCTGACTCGGATACGGATGATGTGCACGAGGGATCGTGGTTGTTGCTGCTGTCAGGGCTGCTGGTGCTGCCAGGGATTGATCCTCGTGTCGTTGACGATTCTGCGTCACGCTGTTGATGTGGTCGATAAAATTTGCGTGCTGATTATGGTACTGAAGACGTGCATGAAGGATCTTCGCATGCTGACGTGGATGCCGCCGCAAGCCATCATCATGATGATGATGCCAGCTGTGCTCCAATGAACAGAGTCGGTCCTGTCGTGCAGGATTAGGAGCAGCAGATAAGATACTGGTACATTGTGGGTGAGTGAATCTAGGCTGTTCGAGTCTTCTTTCTAGAACCACAGCAGCAGCAGGATCAACAGCTGTTCTAGCTGCTGCTCTGACTGCGGAATCCGTTGCTGCTGCTGCTGCTCCTCCTCCCCCTCCTCTTCCCCCCCCGCTCCCCGCTGCCGCTGTTGCGGTAGCACATATCTCCGCGCGCAACAACCGTTCTGGCAAAAATTGACCCTGGTACGCCTGGACTCTACGCCAGACGCACTGGGCTGACCGCATTGACCGCATTGCCGCGTTGACCACGTTGACTGTGTTGAGCGCGTTGACTCTCACCCAGCAGTTTCTTCAAAGTCAAACCATAAGTGTGAATTTGGATCTCGAGATATTGGATCTGAATCTGAAGCTGAATGCAGCCGTCGAAGTTTATCGTCACTGGTTCCTAATCGACCTCTCCTTGCGACGAGCCACGCGATGCAGAAACGCGGTCTGATTTTCTGAGACGTCTTTATATACAACCGCACCCAATGCTTCTGCAATAAGTACGGTTATTCGGAGCTGGGATGCGATGCGAACAAGCGAGAGCGGTCTGGGTGGCACGCGGGAGACGCAGGAAGCGACACGTGGCGAGAGAAGCGTGGCGACCGACGAAAAGTACAACGGACCACACGGATGAAATCACCCGAATGTTCCCGCAAAGGACGCAATGGGAGATGGAAACCTCGCAAGGGACAGAGCCTCCGCGGATTCGACACACCCGAGGTCGCTTCCTGCCGTAGACGACTTGAAAAATCCTGCACTGGCAAGAGAGTGGCTTGGATGACTGAAGGCGAAAATGAGAACGGCGGAAAATGGAGGTGAAGTGTCACAGGGATTGCCGCTGTGACAAGAAACTGAGGCATGAAAGAATTTAGTAAATAGAGCGATCTATGCGAAATTCTACGCTCCACGGTGTACACCCAGTCGCACCTTCCAAACCATCGACATACTAATTACGAACGCCCCCACAGCGAGTACGATATTCTGACGAGTCGATCTTGCTCGAAATGGGCTGCGAGTGTCGTCAAATCCGCAAAAGGTCTCGACCGCTCCTTTCGGGAAAAAAATAGACGTTACCAGGTTACTTGTTCTCCAACCTGATCTCTACCTTTTCTATTCCCCCAAGTGGTAGGAGCAAACATCCTAGCGTCGTCTCTAGTAACTACTAGCCAGTAGCACTTTAGACCTTCGCGTGGCAGTGTTTTGCGCGGCGATGCAGGAGGCCGGATGCGTTAGGGCCACGAAGGATCCCTGACCAAGCGACGGGGGTGAAGCGTAAGTGACGCGCCAAATCGTTGAAGCGACCAAGCTTCCCATCCGTCACTCGACTGCACTTGTCGCAGGGCGGAGCTTCACGTGACTCCGAGAATTCCGTCACGCAAAAACAACTGTCGGAGTTCTTAATACCTTTTCTCCCATCGTAGGCCAACCTTGCGTTTCTCAGTCGTAGGTTGCACCTTAGACCGCACGACGACGTACAGACGATTCGCGATGGCGAGAGCGACCAAGTTCGTGAAGCCGATCGTGCTATCCGTATTCATGTCTAACCGATACATATACGCGCAGGTGCGTTCCCCTTATCCTCTCATGCGCCGCGCTGCACATTCATGCCCGGTTCGTTCCACATCTGGAGGCTCGTTCCTGCTTCGCACCGCACCACCACTCGCATGTGCCGAACAAGTGAACTGAGGGGATGGTCGAACTGAGGGGGTTAGCTATCACATCACAGTCACCATTCCTTTTGAGACGTCTCAAAAGTCGAACCGAGGGGGTTAGCTATCACATCACAGTCACCATTCCTTCCACTCTTCCCATTCCTTTCATCCCGCTCGCTTCTCTTTCTCCTGCTTGTGCACGGACAGCCTTCCTGCTTGTGCACGGACAGCCTTCCTGCTTAGTCACCTGCATGCCCGACGTATCCCATCCATCCCGTCGCATTCGGCGCTAACCCCCTCAGTTCGACCCTCCCCTTCACTTGCTCATGTTCATTCTCAGTTCCTAAATTTCAGTTCGACCCTTTTCTTCAGGGGGTTGTGAAATGGGACGAGATATTTTGTCCCCTTCCGCAACCCCCTCTTCCGACCATCCCTTCGCGTCTTCCCTTCTCCTCTATTCTTCTCTTTCCTACTGCTTCTTGCTCTTCTGCTGCTGCTGCCGCTGCTGCAGCTACGGACAAGATAGGTCAGGTGGTCCTACATTTTTCTCGCCAAGCAGTCGCGGGCTGGCTGCGTTTATCCTTTTGCTCCTACTCATCTCTCCCTCCTCTCCTCCTCACCCCCTCTCTCCTTTCCTTCTCACCCTCCTTTCCTTCCATCTCTCCTCTCTTTCCTTCGCTCCACACCTTCCCCAAGTTCCCCCATTCTCCCCCCCGCCCCTCTTTTCGTCCACTCTTTAAATCCCTAATCCCCCCACAAAACGTCGTCCCTCATTTCTCACCCATTCTCTGTTGATCCGAATGCCGCCGATCCATTCGACCGCCCCACCAATGCTGCTGCTGCTGCTGCTGCTGCTGCTGCTGCTGCTGCTGCTGCTGCTGCTGCTGCTGCTGCTGCTGCATGCTGCAGGCGATTCAAGGGCCAACAGCCTTCCTTCACTCCATAAAAATCCTCATTCATTCTTTCCTCATGTTGTTGAACCGGCCAACCGCTGCTGCTGCTGCTGCTGCTGCTGCTGTTGCTCCAGCGCACAGTTGATTCGATGGACCAACAGCCTTCTTGCTCGCCATTTCATCCTTCATAGAATCCTCCCTGCTCAACTCACTTCCAAGTCACCTCATGTTTTGCCCGGTTGCTTATCTGACCCACCACTACAGGTGATTCACGAGCCAACAGCCTTCACCCTCGTCACTGCATCCTCCATAGAAGCCTCCCTGCGCAAGTGACATCTGACTCTCCCCATTTTCTGCCCCATATTGCTGGTCCTACCCCCCGCTACTGCTGTTGCTGCTCCCATACAGGTGATTCACGAGCCAACAGCGTTCACACTCGCAGCCGCATCCTCCATAGAAGCCTCCCTGCGCAAATCCCTTACAAGCACAAGCGACAAGATCGCAGCTACGGAGGTCGGGAAGGCTCTAGCTGCACGCATGCTAGAGAAGCAGATCGGCGCTGTTGCCTTTGAGCTGGGGCCCACCCAGATGTACCACGGCAAGCTGAGGTCATTGCTAGATGCATTGACAGGGTCTGGAGTGAAGCTTCTCTGAAGATTCTGTCAGATTCACATGAAGCGAACGTGGGTGGTTAGGTGATGCGCTGTGGCTTTTGAGCTGGGCCCCACTCAGATGTACCACAGGAAGTTGAAGTCTCTTCTGGATGCATTGACAGGGTCTGGAGTGAAGCGTCTTTGAAGATTCTGCTCGTTCAATAAAAAAACACGTTTGGTAGGCAAGCACAGATACGGTAGGCGCTGCGGCGTTTGATTTGAGCTGGGGCCCTCTCAGATGTACCACAGGAAGCTGAGGTCTCTCGCTGCTCCATGCTGAAGCCTTTGTGAATGTTCCGTTAGGTGACTCAATAAAATCACATTCACACGGTTGATAGCATACATGGAGATAGGCACATGATAACACATGCCTGTGGATGTACTGTGTTATTCCTGAATGAAATCCTCATGCTCACATGATAACACTTTATGTGTAAGGTGAATCAAATTTAGCGTCTCCCATGTGGTAATTCGAGGGCCCTTTTGCCGAAGGAAGGTAGAGATTTCTGTCAGACTCTGGTTGACTTCAGCGAAAGCTTGAATCATCACAGCAATGTCGTGCGAGCTCAATTGTCGGGCTCAGTCCGCAGAAAAGAAGCGTAACCTGCTTTCGCCAGTCCGTATCCTGACGTCGCATACCCCACCAGTCTCGCACACGGTATCGAAATGGAATCCACATGACCTCAAGATTGTCCCTCCCGTATCGCTCACAGCAATCAAAGTCCGTAACTTCCGATCGCCGTCGTCGCAAACGCCGAATCGCGTAGCAGCAAATTGGAATTCGGAAACATAAATTGGAACGCAAAATCTCTCGAAGCACATCCAGCAAACCTCCTTTCTCATTCTCGAAAGAAGAACATAATCCCACCCCTGGCTTCAACCACTGCAGAAGCACCTCGATTCCCTGCCGCTCCTAGTACTTCGACTTTGAAAATTCCCATTGGCAGTCAACACGTGATATCCTTTTTTTACACGTTGGATGGGAACCATGGCGAATCCACGGCTCATGCCCATCATCCTTCTCGCCTTGTTCGTCGGCTCTTGCTCATCCCATCTAGCGCCATCAACTCTGGCGGGCCGCCGTTCTCTGCTCATCAAACCCACTCCGTCTAAACCCGCACAAGGCCGCGACGCCACCGCTGCTGTCACCGCTCCAGTGACTCCGAAGGCTGCTTCTTTAGCGAATGATTCCGACTCAAGCGAGTCGATCCCGCCGGGAGCAGTAGGCAAGGGCGCGGCGGGCAAGGGCGCGGCGGGCAAGGGCGCGGCGGGCAAGGGCGCGGCAGGCAAGGGCGCAGCAGGAAAGGGCGCTGCGGAAACTGCCGCAAAGGGCAAGGGCGCGGAAAATAAGGGTGCGGCGGGAAATGGCGCAGCAGGAAAGGGCGCGGCTAACAAGGTCGCACCGAAAAATGTCAAGGTCGCACCAAACAAGGTCACAGCTAAGGGCGCGGCGGGAAATCCCGCACCGAACAAGCGCGCTGAGAGAAATGGTGCGGCTGGCAAGGCGACCGCGGCTAACAAGGGCGCAGCAGGCAAAGGAGGGTCCCACGTGGGAAATGCGCATCCAGCTGTGGGCGCGACGACTGCGCATCACAACAACAACAACCAGCCTTCTGCGATGATGGGCGCGGCGAGTGCACGTCACATCAACAACAACCAGCCTGCTGCGATGATGGGCGCGGCGGGCAAGGGCGGATCATCCCACGTGGGAAACGCGCAGCCAGCCGTGAGCGCCGCGACTGCGAGTCACGGCGCTAAGAATCAGCCTGCTGCTGCGATGATGGGAGCGGCGAGCACCTTGAACAAACCTAACACGAACACACCAGGCGTGGCCGCGCCTCACAAGGCAGCTTCCCAGGACGTGACGATCGTTCCCCAGACGCCGGCGCCAGCGCCTGCGAGTCACAGCGTCGAGAATCCGCCTGCTGCTGCGATGATGGGAGCGAGCGACAAACCCGTGCGTCCTCACATGGCGACCGCTGAGGATGTGGCGATCGTTCCCCGGGCGCCAGCACCGGCACCGGGAGTGGACAAGGAGGAGGAGATGCAGGCAAAGGCGTGGAGGAATGTGGTGGCTGATGATGTCGATGATGAGAAGGACGTCAGCGATGACAATGGCGATGATGAGGAGAAGGACGATGACAGCGAGAATGACGACGACCACAATGAGAAGGATGATGACAAGGATGGTGAGAAGGACGATGAGAAGGATGATGAGAAGGACGACAACGATGACAATGGTGATGATCATGACAAGGACAACAACAGCTTGTTGCGCGACAACGGGGATAATGGCAGCGGCGGCACTGGCGGGGATAACGGCGTTCAAAACGGCAGCGGTGGCGGCGGTGGCGGAGGAGGAGGAGGAGGAGGAGGAGGAGGAGGAGGAGGAGGAGGAGGAGGAGGAGGAGGAGGAGGAGGAGGAGGAGGAGGAGGAGGAGGAGGAGGAGGAGGAGGAGGAGGAGGAGGAGGAGGAGGAGGGGGAGGGACCATTGACATTGGCACGATTCTGGAAGTTCACACGCAGTGCTTGGGGTAGAAGGAGCACGAATAGTTTATACTGTACTTGTGTGTATGCCTGGGCTGAGTCAATTAATTGATCACTGTTTTGAAACATTCTGTCCTGCTTATCTTGCAAATGAAAAGCCGCGACAAACTGAATGAAGAATCCAAGGAGCAGTAATATACAGGCACTGAAAATTGGGACGGATACTTAAGTGATTCTAATTGGAAGTTGGAAGTGTGTCTGTTTAACTTCGAATATATCTCAATATAAATTGGCCTCTGTTTTGTGAGCTGTATGGCGCGGCACATCGCATTTATGTACGGTTAAGTGCGGTGAAATATCTACACGCTTCTGTGCATTCCTTCTCGCTGATATAGTGTTCAATTCTACATCTCAGTTTCTCCACGTCCGTTTCAGTCGCGGCGGCACCTTATCTAAGGCTAGAGGCTGCCGATTTCACGACTTCGCCAGGAGCACGTACCTTAGCGAGTATCTATTCTCGCGAGGAGTTACTTTCGCAAAACTAGTTCGTCGCAACGTAGTCGCAGTGCGGCTTGCTTCGAGTAGTGCCTCGAGAAGTCCCACTCGATTCGTTTCACCGAGTAGTGGTGCCTCGAGAAGCTAAGTTTCTCCGCCATGGATCGCGAATGGGGGAGCAAGCCCGGAAGCGGCGGCGCCGCGTCCGCGCAGAGCGAGGCGATCGACCGCCGAGAGCGGCTGCGACGGCTCGCGCTCGAAACCATCGACCTCGCGAAGGATCCGTACTTCATGCGGAACCACCTCGGAAGGTAAGGGTCCACTCCGTTTTAGAGTGGTGATGTGTGGTGATGTGTGGTGATGTGGCCGCGAGCGGCTGCGACGGCTGGCTCTCGAAACCATTGACCTCGCGAAGGATCCCTATTTCATGCGGAACCATCTCGGAAGGTTCGTATCTATACCGTCTAGCTACGGAGCTTCATTATCGACTGGAGGATCGGCCGATCGTCCTTGATGGTTTTTTTTACTTTTGAGTCGACTCAAAAGTCAACTCGTCCGACTTGAGGATCGGCCGATCGTTTTGAAACTATCGATCCGATCATGGGAGTTCCATTCCAGAACCTTTTCGTAAAGTGATCCGTATTTAGGATTTGAAAGGTTCATCTCGAGGCGCATCAATGTGTGTTGGACTTGTATTTCCCGCGAAAAGGTCTCGGAAGATTCGGCGTCAAGTCCGTTGCGTTGTGCCCCAATTAGGGAGCATGCGAGATTCCCGCGTTCCTTTCCTCCTCCTTCCCCCTCCCCCCTCCTTGGCGATGTAGAGTATTTTTGAGAATTTTAAAAAATACTCTACAAACCAAATAGGGAGGATGCGAGATTCCCGCGTTCCTTTCCTCCGCTTTCCTCCTCCTCCCCCCTCCCCCCTCCCCCCTCCCCCCTCCTCCTTCGTCCTCCTTCAATTGCCCCTTCTCTTTTGCCCCTCCACACCTGCACCTATCGTTACGAGTGCAAGCTATGTCTGACGCTTCACAACATCGAAGGCAACTATCTCGCGCACACGCACGCAGGGCAAGCGCCACCAGCAGAACCTGGCCAATCCTTCCCATCCCTTCCCCTGCCCATTGCCCCTACCCCACACAGCTACGAGTGCAAGCTCTGTCTGACGCTTCACAACAACGAAGGCAACTACCTCGCGCACACGCACGCAGGACAAGCGGCACCAGCAGAACGTGGCAACGCCTCAACTTCCCCTCCCTTCCCCCCCACTTCCCTGCCCTTGACACCCCGCCCCCATCATTAGTTACGAGTGCAAGCTATGTCTGACGCTCCACAACAACGAGGGAAACTACCTCGCGCACACGCAGGGCAAGCGGCACCAGCAGAATCTGGCCAAGCTTGTAACATCCCTTCCCTTGCCCTTTGTCCTTGCAACCCCCCACTTACAGCTACGAGTGCAAGCTGTGTCTGACGCTTCACAACAACGAGGGCAACTATCTCGCGCACACACAGGGCAAGCGGCACCAGCAGAATCTGGCCAAGCGAGCAGCCAAGGAGGCTCAGGAGGCACCGGCACTGCCCCAACCCGCTCGGCCCCGAGTGAACCCGAGAAAGACAGGTGAGAGCGGGAGAGAGCAGGAATTGAAGGTTGGAAGTGTGGGTTAGTCAGTCAGTGCGCACACGTAAGGCAAGCGGCACCAGCAGAATCTGGCGAAGCGCGCAGCCAAGGAGGCACAGGAGGCACCGGCGCTGCCCCAACCCGCTCGGCCCCGAGTGAACCCGAGAAAGACAGGTGAGAGAGGGAGAGAGCAGGAATTGAAGGTTGGAAGTGTGGGTTAGTCAGTCAGTGCGCACACGTAAGGCAAGCGGCACCAGCAGAATCTGGCGAAGCGCGCAGCCAAGGAGGCACAGGAGGCACCGGCGCTGCCCCAACCCGCTCGGCCCCGAGTGAACCCGAGAAAGACAGGTGAGAGCGGGACGGAGGGAGTGGGTCAGTGGGTGAGTGAGTGTGTTCTTGCAAGCGGCACCAGCAGAACCTGGCCAAGCGTGCAGCCAAAGAGGCACAGGAGGCACCGGCGCTGCCCCAACCAGCACGGCCCCGAGTGAACCCAAGGAAGACAGGTGAGAGCGCTTGAAATGCAGGGGTTGGGTGAGTGGGAGAGCGAGGGATTGAGAGTTTGCAAGCGGCACCAGGAGAATCTGGCCAAGCGCGCAGCCAAGGAAGCACAGGAGGTACCGGCACTGCCCCAGCCAGCACGGCCCCGAGTGAACCCGCGCAAGACAGGGGAGGGTGGGGAAGGGTTGGGGGGGAAGGGGGAGTGAACCTGCCAAAGATAGGTGAAGTGGGGGGGGAGGAGTGAAACTAATTTTTGCATGAAATGGCTGTGTCATGTGCTTGCCTTTCGACCAATCTACCGTGCCATACCATGCCATACCATGCCATACCATCCATACCATGCCATACCATGCCATACCATGCCATACCATCCATACCATGCCATACCATGCCATACCATGCCATACCATCCATACCATGCCATACCATGCCATACCATGCCATACCATGCCATACCATGCCATGCCATGCCATACCATGCCATACCATCCATACCATGCCATACCATGCCATACCATGCCATACCATCCATACCATGCCATACCATGCCATACCATGCCATACCATGCCATACCATCCATACCATGCCATACCATGCCATACCATGCCATACCATGCCATACCATGCCATACCATGCCATGCCATGCCATGCCATGCCATACCATCCATACCATGCCATGGCATACATACGGTAAGACATGACACAATCCGCCATACCGTACCATACGCCATGCCCCATGGCCCCATGCCCCATGCCCCATGCCCCATGCCCCATGCCCCCCATGTCTCATGCTCCATGCGCCATGTCTTGCATTTGCAGTGAAGATCGGTCGACCCGGTTACCGTGTAACCAAGCAGTTCGACCCTGAGACACACCAACGCTCACTGCTCTTCCAGGTGTGTGGGTGTGGCCCCGGGGGGGGGGGGGGGGGGGGGGGGGGAAGGGAAGGAGAGGAGGGGGGGGTGGGGTGGGGTGTGAGGGGAGGGGGGTATGGGGTGGAGGTGGGTTTCGCCAGGTGAGCGTGTGTACAGGCGTGTGCGTGTGCGTGTGCATATGGGCATGCATGTGTGTGTAAGTCTGTGTGTGTGTATGCCTCTGTGTGTGTATACCTCTGTGTGTGTATGCCTGTGTGTGTATACCTCTTCCCCCTCTCTTCCCCCTCTCTTCCCCCTCTCTTCCCCCTCTCTTCCCAGGCCCCGTCCCCTTTTTCCCGACTTCCCGACTTCACACCCCTTTCTACACGTCTCTCCCCCTTTCCGCTCTTCACGCCCGTCCCCCTCGCTCCCCTCTCCACTCCCCTCCCGCACGAGTCACAGATCGAGTACCCAGAGATAGAGGACGGGGTGAAACCTCGCCACCGATTCATGTCTTCCTATGAGCAGGTGAGTGTGTGGGTTGTGGTGTGGTGGTGTGGTGTGCCGCCGTTGCCATGGTAACGAGGTGACTTTTGAGTCGACTCAAAAGCAGGTGAGTGTGTGGGTTGTGGTGTGGTGGTGTGGTGTGGTGGTGTGGTGGTGTGGTGTGCCGCCGTTGCCATGGTAACGAGGTGACTTTTGAGTCGACTCAAAAGCAGGTGAGTGTGTGGGTTGTGGTGTGGTGGTGTGGTGTGCCGCCGTTGTGATCTGTGGTGATGTGGTGTGTGGTGTTTTGATGTGCATGTTCTGATCTGCCTATGTGCCCTTGCGTCCCTTCCTTTCCCCCTTTTCCAGTTTCCCAGTAATCCTCATTTTCCTCCTTTTCTCCATGCCCCTCCCCCCTCCCCTCTCCCCCTTCATCCTCCCCATCCGCCATCCCCCCCAGAAATTCCCCCTCATCCTCTTCCCCTCCAGTGAGTCGAGTCAAGAGACAAGAGCATTAAACACCATCCTCTCTCCTCTCTTTTTCCCCTCTCTCCATCCTCCCCAATCCTCCCTCAATCCCCACTTCATTGCACCGAGTTGAGTTGTGGGACAAGAACTTCCAGTACCTGTCGTTAGCGCCGCAGCCCCCCTGCTCTCCCCATTCTCTCCCCATTCTCCCCCCCTTCTCCCCCCCTTCTCCCCCCCTTCTCCCCCCATCATCCCCCCACCCTCCCCACACGCCCCCCCTCCACCGAGTCGAGTCGCGGGACAAGGACTTCCAGTACCTGCTGTTTGCACAGCAGCCCCCCTGCACTCCCCATTCTCCCCACACTCTCCCCACACGCCCCCCCTCCACCGAGTCCAGTCGCGGGACAAGAACCTCCAGAACCTGCTGTTTGCACAGCACCTATTCTCTTCCCCTGTCTTTCCCCCACTGTCCCCCGATTCCCTCTATTCCCCCCTCTCCCCTCTACCTGCTGTTTGCACCAAACACCAACTCCCTTGTTCCTTCTTTGAGGCGCCTCAAAAACCTGCTGTTTGCACCAAACACCAACTCCCTTGTTCCTTCTTTGAGGCGCCTCAAAAACCTGCTGTTTGCACCAAACACCAACTCCCTTGTTCCTTCCCTTCTCCCTCCATTCTCCCCCCATCCTTCCTGCATCCTCCCCCCACCCATCCCCACCCATCCCTACTGCATTGCAGCGAGTTGAATCCTGGGACAAGAACTTTCAGTACCTGCTGTTTGCGGCAGCACACACAAACCCTCTCCATCATCCTCTCCTCTCCCCCCCCTCCCCATCCGCCCCCCACCCATTCCCATCCAACCCCACCCAAATTCACCGCATTGCAGCGAGTTGAATCCTGGGACAAGAACTTTCAGTACCTGCTGTTTGCAGCAGAGCCCTACGAAATCATATCTTTTAAGGTACGCAATCGTCTCGTCCCTGTGAAGCAACCAGATCCTATACTTGAAGGAATAATTTCACCTCGAGACGAAACGAAACGAAATGTTGTCGCTCGAGGTGACTTCCAACCAACCTCTCTTTTGTCTCCTTCCTGCATGCACTCCCCCCATGTGTTCGATTCAACTTGAAACAATCCCCTTCTACTTTTTATGAGTCTGCAAAACTTGACTGCAAAACAGTCCTGCGAAGCTCTTCAAGCTACACCCCCCCCCCCCCCCCGCCCCACCTTCCCCACCCCGCCCACTCTCTCCCCTGCAGGGTGGGTGTTCTTTTCCGTGTTCACTAACCGACCCTCCTGCAGTTTCCCTCCCCACCTAATAATCCCGCCTTCCTGCTTTTTATGACAAAAATTGCACCTTTTACGAGTGTGCAATGCTTGTGTACTCCCTTCTTCTAACTCCTCAAGCTACCAGTTTTGAGTCGACTCAAAAGTCAGCTCCCCCCTTCCTGCTTTTTATGAGTGTGCAATGCCTCTGTACTCCCTTCTTTTAACTCCTCAAGCTACCACCTCCCCTCCCCTTCCCCACCCCACCCACGCTCTCCCCCTGCGCTTTCCCTTCGTCACTAACAGATCCCGAGCACGGAAATCGACAAGACCCCATCCAAGTTCTTCTCGCATTGGAACCCTGATACCAAGACCTTCACAGTAAGTGAAGCTTTATTGTAACTGAAACCTCTTGAAAGTTCTATACGTGCATCCCACCTACCTCCCTTCCAAGTTTCTTCTCGCATTGAAACCCTGATACCAAGACCTTCACAGTAAGTGAAGCTTTAAAGTAACTGAAACCTCTTGAAAGTTCTATACGTGCATCCCACCTACCTACCTCCCTTCCAAGTTTCTTCTCGCATTGGAACCCTGATACCAAGACCTTCACAGTAAGTAACACGTCGCTCTTGCGGGGTTTTTTCACAGTCAGTAGTTTATAGTTTATCACTCTACATGTGCATGCATCCTAACTTCTCTCCAACGTCGTTCTGTTCTGTGTGCATCCTATGTTCTCCCTTCGTCTCCTATTTTCTCCCTTCGTCTCCTATGTTCTCCCTTCGTCTCCTATGTTCTCCCTTCGTCTCCTATGTTCTCCCTTCGTCTCCTGTTTTCTCCCTTCGTCTCCTATGTTCTCCCTTCGTCTCCTATGTTCTCCCTTCGTCTCCTATTTTCTCCCTTCGTCTCCTATTTTCTCCCTTCGTCTCCTATGTTCTCCCTTCGTCTCCTATGTTCTCCCTTCGTCTCCTATGTTCTCCCTTCGTCTCCTATGTTCTCCCTTCGTCTCCTATTTTCTCCCTTCGTCTCCTATGTTCTCCCTTCGTCTCCTATGTTCTCCCTTCGTCTCCTATGTTCTCCCTTCGTCTCCTATTTTCTCCCTTCGTCTCCTATGTTCTCCCTTCGTCTCCTATTTTCTCCCTTCGTCTCCTATGTTCTCCCTTCGTCTGTCGGAGTTCTTCCCTTCTCCTTCCTCACTCCTCCCTTGCCCCTGCCTCTTCTCTGCCTTCTGTCCTCACCTTCTTCCCTTCCTTCTTATTCTGGCCTTTCCCCACCTTGTGCTGTCCCCACTCCTGTTACCCTGTTCCCTTCTGCGTTCCATGAGAAGTTTACTCTCCCACACGATGGCTGCCCACAGTGGCGTAGTCACCTAGCTAGCGTAGCCTTGTTGCGGTAACGTTATCCACTATATGAGGCAAACAAGACGAGAGAACAGGTTTGCTATGCTAGGCTAGGCTATTTGTGCTTGGCTGCCCAGTCGCGAGTAACTCAGCGTGCTGGGTTGAGCTCGAGCCGCCTAGGCCTTGGAGTGGCCCTCGCTAGATTGCCTGTCTCCCGAGGTTCCTGAAATTGTCCCCGAAGCGCCCTGTAACCCCCAATGCTACCAACTTCTCGCTACTCTCTATAACCCAACTACCCCACATGCAGATTGAATAACACTCGCTACACCACTTCTACACCCAATTAGCATATGTCTCCAATATGATGCTCTTACCATTATATTTGGTGACACGTCTCCTATGTTCTCCCTTCGTCTCCTATTTTCTCCCTTCGTCTCCTATTTTCTCCCTTCGTCTCCTATGTTCTCCCTTCGTCTCCTATTTTCTCCCTTCGTCTCCTATTTTCTCCCTTCGTCTCCTATGTTCTCCCTTCATCTCCTATTTCTCCCTTCGTCTCCTATTTTCTCCCTTCGTCTCCTATGTTCTCCCTTCGTCTCCTATTTTCTCCCTTCGTCTCCTATGTTCTCCCTTCGTCTCCTATTTTCTCCCTTCGTCTCCTATGTTCTCCCTTCGTCTCCTATTTTCTCCCTTCTCCTATCTTTCTCCGATCTTCTCCCCCCCATGCAGCTCCAGCTATACTTCAAGCCCCGCCCAGTGACCCCCACCTTCTCATGCAGCCCCCACCTTCTCATGCAGCCCCCACCTACTCATGCATTGTGCTGGGTTCCCTTTCCCCCCACATCCCCCCCTTTCCCAGCCCCGCTCAGTGGCCCCCACCTACTCATGCATTGTGCTGGGTTCCCTTTCCCCCCACATCCCCCCCTTTCCCAGCCCCGCTCAGTGGCCCCACCTACTCATGCATTGTGGTTCTCATCCACCTCAACCAGTGGTTCTCATCCACCTCAACCAGTGGTTCTCATCCACCTCAACCAGTGGTTCTCAGCTGTCTTGTATCGACTGGGCTGCCCTCACTGCCTCACCTCAACTTCTTCTTGCCCTGTTTCACTCACCCTACTTTTCCCCCCATGCAGCTTCAGCTATACTTCAAGCCCCGCCCAGTCGCCCCCACCAACCCCAACGCCCATCTCCTCCCCTCCTCCATGCCTCCCCATCCCCATCCCCACCCACCTCCCCCTCCTCTCTCCTCCCGCCCCCCTCCTCCTACCGGCCCCTCCCCCCGCCCCCCTCCCCCGTCCTACCCTTCCTCCATGCCCCCTCCCCCTCCTCCCCCTTCCTCCATGCCCCCGCCTCCCCCACCAAGCGGATACGCTCCCCCTCCTCCCCCAAGCGGATATGCACCCCCTCCCCCTCCCCCTCCCCCTCCCCCTCCCCCTCAAGGGGGGCAGTATGGGGGGGGAGGCGGGTACATGCCCCCCCCTCCCCCGCCACAGCAGCAAGGGGGGGGAGGGGCGGGGGGAATGGGGGCGTATGGGGGTGCGTATGGGGGGTATCCCCCTAGCAACCAGCCACAGGCACATGTGGGGGGAGCGGGGGGAGCAGGGGGAGGGGGAGGGGGAGCAGGGGGAGCGCCAGTGTCCAGACCCCCACCCCCACCCCCCCAGCAGCAGCAAGGGGGAATGTATTCTGCTGTCCCCCCGCCTCCCCCTGCTGCACCTGGGGGGTACCAGCCCCCTCCCCCACCACAGACCTAGAAGTATGTGTTTAGAGGGAGAGTGGAAATGGGAGTGGAGGGGGGTTTGGAGTGGGATTGGGAGTGGGAAGGAGTGGAACTTTGGGGAACAGGAAGGCATGTAGGGCTTGTGTTGATGTAGTGCCTCCATTGCTGACAAATTATTAATGTTCTTGTTGAATTCTGTTGACATATCTATATTACCACCTACATCAGGATAACAGAACGTTGAAGTTCATTCATCATCTGTGCCTACCTATCATAGATTCAAAGATTTTCCGCTTATATCGAGCTCACCGTAGCGCGTCCTCGAGCATTGTTTGCGCCAGCACGATCGCTTGGATTACGCCACCAGGCCAGAGATCTCCACAACCACCCCTGTGGTCAGGGAACCAGCACTTCACAGGCTCGGATTGGTTGGGCAGGGTGATCAAAAGCCACTTCGTGTGGCTGTTGTCAAGCTGGTAACCAGACTCAGCAGAACTAAAAGAGAAATTATACGCGCAGTCACAATTATGTCCGTATTATCACGTTTGGTCCCGGGGTCATCACGGACAGTCACAGTTCAGTACTTCGCTATCACGCGTGATCACAGCGCTATCACGCGTGGTCACACCTCGCCCCGCAGGGTTACCACGTTCGGTCACTTGTTGAAACGCCCGCCAAAAAGTCGACACTCCAAAATATACTGTAAAGATTCGGGTACATTATCTTGCGCGCGTTTTGTCTGTAGCGAAAAACGTGATGTGACAGACGAAATATACTCGGACCTTGTTAGGGAACGATGCAGTTTAATCCAGAGTTTGCATTTTGCAGTGAATAAACGCCAGCAATAAACTGTACTAAATTGTTGAGAAAGTACAATCTAAAACCATCAATTCTAAGAAACATCATATCTTATCAATCGATTGTGCGCCTGACACTGAAATTGTGTTTAGATTGTTAACAATGTAGTGAATAGAGTGAACATCAATAATAAAACTATTCGAAAAAACAGACATAATGTATGTCGAACTGGCACAACACAATGTGTCGGACAGTATCAAACTACATGTTACCCTTATCAATTGTTTAAATCGCTATATGCTTATATTACAAGATGCAATTACACTAAACATGTCAATCATAAATATGTTTGATTAATTATAAACAGTTCAATTACACATATCAACCAACGCAATCACGTGTCGTATATGTATTTACCCACCTGTAACGTTCAACGGTTTACCATCTAAACTGATGAAATTGTATTGGTTTCCCACCAGCTAAAGCTATTGTCACTGTGCTAAACATAATTATATTGTTCTCACTGTTTAAATCATTCGACCTAAACCCATGTCTTTGGTGTATGGATGAAATGCACACCCTAAACTAATTATAAAATCGCAACTGTTATTGATGGCGTTTATTCACTGCAAATTTTAAACTCTGGATTAAACTGCATCGGTCCCTAACAAGGTCCGAGTATATTTCGGCCGTCACATCAAGTTTTTCGCTACAGACAAAACGCGCGCAAGATAATGTACCCGAATCTCTACAGTAGATTTGGGAGTGTCGACTTTTTGGCGGGCGTTTCAACAAGTGACCAAACGTGATAACCCTGCAGGGCGAGGTGTGACCACGCGTGATAGCACTGTGATCACGCGTGATAGCGAAGTACTGTACTGTGACTGTCCATGATGACCCCAGCACCAGACGTGATAATACGGCCATAATTGTGACTGCGCGTTTAATTTCCCGAACTGAAACCGCCCGGAAATAAAAAAAAAACCTGTGGCCAGATGGGCAACTGGCTTTGTCTGCCAGCTGCCCGTTGTTCCGCATCCCGCCAATTTGAGACGGATTGTGGCCCATGGCGTGATGTGAGCGAGTGGCGAGGCGATTTGCGTTGCACGCAGCACGATCCGTTGGATTCTCGTCGCACGGTTTGTGATGGTTTCGCCGTTCAAAAGTGGATAGCACTGAGCATTTAGCTGATGTCAGACAGTACGCAAACTCGGGAGGATCTGGTCTGGGTTTGTCGTGATGGTGTGGTGGCAACTGGGGATGCGTTCCGCTCGTTTCCAGCAAGCCTCATTCCACACCTCGGGTGTCAGATCCGAACTTGGCATGTGGGAGGAAGTGGATCTAGCGTGATTGTCGAGTTGACAGAACCGAATTCTCGGATTTGGTCGTCAAATGCTGTTGCGAGAAGCGAAAAAATGCACACGGCCGCAATTCATGCACGAACGGAAGCGAATTTGTAACGATTCCCCGCATCTCGCGGGGTTTCGAATTCCTCCACCTCGCATCTCAAAAGAGGACCAAGCTGTTCAAGCAAAATGATGAATCGAACATAAACAATCGACGGTTTTGCATACCATTGGATAGGGTTACCAGACTAATTTGCATGTCTATGATGTTGGCCCTCCGGTGTCAGCTTCCCGAACTAAAACTTCTGCTGGTTCGGGCTTCATTTTATCCGTCGGATACAAAATATCTCCTTGGTTCAGGCATCATCGTGACCTTTCCCACGTTTTCCGTTCATCGCGGCTCGTAGGCACGCGTCGCGGTTGCAAATCTCCACATTTGAATATTAAAGCCGGCGGCCCAAATTGTTCATGCTTTGGCGAGAGTTTCCGATTTCGTCTAGGTTCGGTTTTTTCGCGAGACCCAGCCAACCCTCGGTTTTCCCCCTGGTGAGTGAATCTGTCTTCGAAAGTCCCAAATTGCAAGTGCGTGACTTTCAAAAGCTTGGACACCCAACTTCGTCAAGTTTTAAAAACTTGACCCTCGCGGCCCGCAATTTGGGACGCGGGCTTTAAACAAAAAGAAAGGCGACTTTGATTTGAGCCCCACAGGGGCAAGGCAGGCAGACAGTCATTTCTAAGATTCGACCATCTGTATTACTCATTTTATTACTGTAGCCCGCTGGTGCTCGCGCTTTCCTTAGGACTACCAGCTAGCGGCGACGAAATCATAGCCGCACCACTCTGTTCACATTTCGTCTATGGCTTCCATACCCATGGCATGTAGGCTGTCGTTCTCCTTCACGTGTCGGATGCGGAGAGCTGAAGTCCCAAATAAAATGGCGTCGTTCACGCGACCGCCACTACTACAAACAGTTCATCCCAGTAAACCCCACACTGCATCACGCAGTTCATCCGCCGCGGTCTGCGTCACGTTATCGAGCAAAAGGGCAAACGACCTACCGCGACCGCGCCACTCCAGTCACTCCGTGACAGCCTCCGTCACATCTGAGAACGTCCGTTCCGAGAACACACATCACACACAGTGTGCTGCTCCGATACCTTCCCGTTCTCGTCCTACACGACACGTACTGCTACTACGTTCTTGGTACCCTGCCACGTAGGGCCGCGGCGCTCACTGTCGCTGACCTAGAAGCCGTTTTTCCCAGGCCCTTAAATTTGTACGGTTGCAATAGTGCCGCTCTTGCTTTTCGGCGCTTCCCGCCTCGAAAACCCCGCTTCATCCGGTCTCTGCAATATCCGAGATTTCCGTCCCCTTGCGCCATTTGGAGATTCAATGGCTCCCTGCGCGCCGCTGAACGTCTCCGAATCCGCCACGGCCGCCGTCGAATTTGGCGCAACTGCCAGCGGAAGCTTTGAACACCATAAAGCTAGTTACCACCAAAGAGGCGATTTCGCGACACCAAATTTCGCCATTCCTCGTCAACGTGACGTGCCGACTCTCGCGCCGGCTCCCTCGCTCGAGAAGCAGATTCACCGCCGCAAAATGCTCTCGACTGCTGCTACTACCTCCGCCTCCGCCGCCGCCTCCTCCGCCGCCGCCACAGCTGCAGGCGCATCCACCACCGCCGCAGGAGCCGCGGCGCAGAGCAACATGAAGATGGCGATCGGGCGCAGTCGTAGCGGCGTGGCCGCCTTTGATTCGAGTGGAGACGCGGCGAATCGCGCGCATTACAGCCTTTCTGAAATGAGGCGCGAATACCACACGCGCCAAGACGGCGCGCCGGCCTTGACGATAAACGGACGGAGACGGCCGTCTATGTCCGTCAACCCCACTGCTGCGCCGGCAGCCGCCTCCGTCAGTTCGAGCCGCCCAGGCGGCAGGCTGACGCGACGCGGGTCCGCGGACGTAGCGTTGCTATGCGGCTCGAAAGGCGTCGGCGCGACAGGCGGTGGTGATTACTGCAGCGTTGCGTATGGCGGAGATGGTTTTAGCAGGAGAATTTTATCTTCAAGTACTCGAGCGACGCGAAGCTTTTCCCCTTGGGATTCCGAACTCTCGAACGTGACAACAAGCTCACTTTTTGAAAAAACTCCCGAGGATTGCGCCGCGACCTGCTTAAACATGGAAGGTACGAGCTTGACTTTTTATCGAGCCTGCTTGTGAGCCTGTTTTAAAACATGGAAAGTACGAGTCTGGCTTGCACTGAGCGCGAAGTGTCTGGGCCTAAGCATTTCTGCCTTTTTTGAGACGTCTCAAAAGTCGTCTGCTTTTTTTTTTTTGGCGCCTCAAAAGTACGAGGCTGGCTTGCACTGAGCGCGAAGTTTCTGAGCCTAAGCATTTCAGACTGTTCCACATCTAACGGCCTTTTCTTTTATTCTGTTTCTTTCCGCTCGTTCCTAAATCAGACATTCAAGGCATGGCAGCACACAAGGACCTGAGGAACGTTCTCATAAGAAGCATTGACATCGTTTCGGTCCCCAAGTCTCTCCTTCCCAGCACTCCTCCTGCTGCAACCACTCCCGGGACCACAGCTACAGCTACAGCTACTGCTACAGCTGCTACATCCCCTGCTGCTGCTGCTGCTGCTGCTGAATACGTGCTGTGGGGCGTTCAATTCACCGACAGCCCAGCCTGGGTGTACCGCTCTCCCAATGGGTCTCTCCCTGCGCTACGGCCGGTGCTACAGTCGCCTGCTTTGGGAACTGCGACAGGCACGGACAAGCCCGGCAGGAGGGGCGCTGGTCGCCGTTCCCCTCTGTCTCCTCACTCTCCTCCGCTTCAATCTCCTCCCTCTCACTCTCCTCCCCCTCACTCTCCTCCTCTTCATTCTCCTCACTCTCAGCCCGCATCACCACATAAGCCAGCCTTCACACCAGCTGCATGGCAGAGGCCTACTAGCCGGTTGTCACCCACTGGTGGGGGTGTACGTCCGTTAGTTCCCCGTTCAAGCAGCATTCCTGAGATGAGCACATCTGCTACTACCGTGGCTACTCCTGCTGCTACTGCTGCTGCAGCAGCTTATTCTGCCGCTCCTTCTGCTGCTCGTGCTGCTGCTGTCGCTGCCACTTGTGCTACTGCTGTCTCTGCTTCTACCCTACCATTTGCCATGTTTGCCGCAACTATAGTACCCTCCACTGCTGTACCCTCCACTGCTGCTGTGGGGGGCCTCAGTGGGGCTTTAATGTGCCAACATTCAACGGCCCAGATTCTCTCATCAGCAGCTGAAATTCACCCACTGCAGGTTGACATTCTACCCATCAGCAGCAGTAAGCAGCAAACCCCGGTTCGGCCGGTCCACAATAGACGAAGGTCACTGTCCGATATCCCTTCTTCTGCCGATTCTTCTGCCTTCTCCTCCCCCTTCGCTTCCCTCTCCCCTTCCTCTGCTGCTTCACACTCTCCCTGTTCAGTCTTCTCGCCTCGCTTTTCGCGGTTTGATCCATCTCAGAAACATTCTCCTGAGAATTTACCTGCTGAAACAAGCCCAACCCATGGGACAAACACCAAGCCCAGTATTCCTGAGAAGGCTTCAGGTGTTCAGTCAGGAGTTTTGGCCGTGGCAGCAGATTCAGAAGCCGGTTCGGGTGGTGCATCCAGCTTCGGTGTCTGGGTGGGTGGGTCAACCAGGCCTACGTTTGCAGACGCTCTAGCTGCTTCTCGTCTGAGTGTTGGGATCAAGCGTTATCCAACAGTGAGCAACGCAAATAATTCTGCACTGGGGACTCAACAGCAGAAGCAGGAGGATTCGACAACATTGAATGAAGGTATTAAGCGGATTGGGTTCAATTATCAGGTGGATCTGGAGCAAATGCCCAAGTACATGACAGATGATGAGCTTAGCCACTTCATATTCAATGTATAGGTTACGATTTGTGAGGTTTTGTGTGTGCTGCTTGCAATCAAAGGCACCAAGCAAAATGGATTCAAGTATAGGGTGGATCTGGAGCAGATGCCCAAGTACATGACAGACACACGTAAAAAAAATCCAGCAACTTGTTGCATTTTCATGTGAGTCATAGAAGCATAAGCACAAGGCACATACTATCTACATTGAAGGCCAACAAAGAACATTCTAATAACCCTCAGTATTGTAGAGCTGTCAAGTGATGGTTCTCTGGAAGGTTGAGAGACCAACCAGACTCTCTAAGTAAGCATAGCTGATCCTCCTACTTCTGCTTCAGCTTGTGCTGTTACAGTGATCAGAACCATAAACATACATGGTTGAAGCTCGGATAAGTGCATGCATCAGCACATACTCTACCCGAAACTAGCCACTATCGAGCAGCGATAGCGCCTCAGTAAAAAAAACCCGGGTGGGAGGGGGAAGAAGAGGAGAAGATTCACTCTCTTTTCTCCCTGTCCTTATTACGTCCGAAACACTAGACTCCCTCGAGCTCGCTATAGTGTCGTTTCCCTAACGTCTCCATCATTGCACCCCGTTACAGTGTCATTGTCCCGCATTGAGTCACCTCTTGTACCCGTACTGTAGCTGGTAACCTCCTCCACGAGGGGTACTGGTATATACACCGGAGCTTGACTCGCTATTTTCACAACGGAGCTGACCGCTAGCGACCCTTGTAGCGACTTCAGCACCACGGCTTCGTACTGGCTGGTAATCATTTTCGACCACCGCTCCGCGACGCTCGCTTTCCGGCTTGGGGAGTGCGCGTGGGTGGCGTGGGTGGTGGTTGTAGCGGTGAAAACCACGTCGTAGCTGAAACTTTGAGAGTTGTAACCCGAGGAGCTGTGACCGCTCGAGGCGTGCTTTTCCGCTGCGTTGACGATTTCTAAATGCACATCCGCGTCCTGATGGGGGGAAACAAGTGGAAATCGGAAGGATGACAGAGAGAGCTAAGAAAAGGCGGATGAAATGACGGCATAATGAGGGAGTGGTTTGGAGAGGAGATGGGGGAGAGGAAAAGAGGGTAGGCGGGAGGTGGTATCATACATTGTAAGACTCAACCAGATGAGGTGAGAAACGAAGAGGTGAGACAATAGGGGACGGGTGGAACGAAGGGAGGGCAAGACGGTGAGACATGAAAGACGCGTCCAACAACAAGCTGTAAGAGTACGCTCCGACTCAAAAGCCTTAAGCGATACGGCTTAATACTAATGTTCGGCAGCAATCCTATCTGTAGAGGCTCACCATCTTAGCATTCATGTCCGCGACCACGAATTCCGCAATCTGTGCCACCTCAGCGCTGCGCGGGTCCACGATGACGTAGCCTCCAGGCAGCAACACTCCTGTATGTTCCGGAAGCGACACTGTAGACGCTAGCGGTAGTGTAGATTGCATTCTTGTATGGTCCGGAAACGACACCGCGGATTGCGCCTTGGAGAAGCTACAGCTAAGTAACGTTGTAGTGGCTACGAGAAGAGAAATGGCCCGGGGATGTCCCATGGTGCAACGACGATCGGGAGAGTAAACTACAGATAATAAAGACAACTTAGTTGTTAGCAGAAGCTCAGCCAGATAGGGAAGCTAAATCGGTCTTTCTCAACGTAAACTGAGAGTTTGGGATTCAGCGACTTCGGAGCGTTTAGCAAAAAAGCATACACGACAAGAGTCAATGACTAAAACCACTCGCGATAAGGTATAGTACTATGTCGTCAAGGGACAGACAATACTATCGTAAGTGCTGTTCGCTGAACCTTGAAATGCGGCGGAGGGAGTGTCAACTGAGCGAAAATTACTGAGAATACTGATCGTTAAAAAAGTGCCGCCGAATTACACGGAGTCGGGCACACGAACATGGCGGGATGTTGACGAATGACGGGCCACCACCACACCACCACACCATGGACGTGATGTAACAACCCACGCGAATGAAGGTTGCAAGTGACAAAGCCTCGTCTAATTTTGAGAGGCTCGCTCAGCTGGAGCTTTTCAACTGTACAACAAAGCCTACATACATCGCGGTGCTCTAGACCGTTTTCGATAATGTGGTACCGTCTAGAACCCATTTGTAATCACCGTGTTTGAACCATCCCTCCTGAAAAGCATTCCAATCGCAGGAATCCCACATCCCCAGGAATCCCATCCATCCCCTCCAAGGAATCCCATCCCATCCATCATGTCGCGTCCGAGGAATATTTTTCGACGACGCGCCTTCCAGGCGTGACGAAATGCCAGGCTGACGCTGACGAGGCCCACGTCACCGGACGCCCAACCTCAGCCAGTGCCACGGGCAGGGAATTTTTTACCACGAGGGTGGTGTCAGTCACGGCGCTTTCTGGTCACTCGTACATTTTCGAGACCATGCCGCGCTTTTTCCGGAGTTTTCGGTTGCCCCGTGCTACATAAATTTTGCAAAGGGGAATACACGTGCTGCCGGCGACGAGGCCGATTTATTGGTCATGCTTCTGTTGACGGGCCGCAAGTTGAGCAGTTTAGCCCGCTGATTTGGGATTCCACCTTGCGGAATATGCGCACAAATTCGCTCGATCGCTTACGATGGATCCGGCGACGCCTTACGACTGCTGTCAGATTCTCGCTTCCAATACGTCGGCGAACGACTCAATACCAGCCAATAAACTGCTCACAATGTCGCTGAACTTTTCCCCGTCATAACCTCGGCAAACGCACTACTGTACCTGTCACATCACACTTCGTGATTTATTGGCGATCTTTATTTGTGGCAGTGATTACATCACCAAATCCATTTTCCTCAACCCCTGGTTTATTGGGATGAAGTTTCTATTGACCCTCTGTTCCCTTGTTGAGTCACCTGGTTGATCAACACTCGTTGGTCCATTATGCCGAGCAAACATATGCTGAACTACATGCATGGGGATCCATTGGCCTTACACAAGCAGGCAATAGGAGGTAATGTTTGTTGCATAAATATCATAAGCGTCTACATTATCACTCTCTTCGAGCCAGCAAAGCTTCTGCAGCCATTCTACCAGAAGCCAATGCTCCATCGAAAGTGGGGGAGCTCTTGTGATCTCCACACACATACACTCCCTCCCTCCCCCCCACTTCCACTTCCCTAGAGAAGTCAGTGGGAGGCCTTTGTCCCGGCTGAGCAAACGGAATCCTGTATGCCCGGAGCATCTTCCAAGCCTCCACTTCCTCCTTCCCGAACCAGCCTGCCAGCTCCGTGCGCACCCGAGCCTCTAGTTCAGCTTCGGTCCGATCCTCGTAGGCACCGACAAGGGAGACCGAAACCAGTGTCTTGCCGGGCGGAGCATAGGAAGGGGACACTACACTGGGGAAGCAGAGGTTGTTGACAATGCCGCTACCGGAGCCGTTTAAAAAGAGGATGGGCTCGGAGATAGGGACAGGGGAGTCTGACGCAAAGTAGAGACACACTGTGCTGCGGGGCTCTTGAGTGGCTGTAGCAGAAGTGCTGCTAGCTGTGTTATCGCTGCTGCTGCTGCTGCTGCTGCTACTGCTGCTGCTGTCGCTACCTCCCTCCCCTAGAAGCAGCCTCTCAGCCACTGGTTGCTCTACTGCCACTATCACCCCTCCCTTGGCCAAGATCCTCTTCCCGTCCTGCATCGTCAGCAGGCTCGGCACACCCGAACCAGCTTCCGAACCTTTGCCATCGGCTTCATCGGTGGGAAAAGCAGGGGAGATGGAGGAGACGGGGGAGTTGAGGCGGATGGAGTGGGAGGGAAGGCGAGAGGCGAGGTGAGAGGCGAGGGCTCCAATGCCGGATGAGGGGAGGGTGTTGGGTGCCAGTGCGAGCATGCGTAGCACAAACTCCATCAACCTGTGAAAATTGTGTGGGGAGAGAGAGTGAGGGAGGAGAGGGAGGGATGAGATGTGAGGAACGAGAGAGGGAGAATGTGTCATTGAGAAACTGGTCGAAAGGTTGGGGGTGATAGAGGAGACGGGGGAGTTGAGGTGGATGGAGTGGGAGGGGAGGCGAGAGGGGAGGCGAGAGGCGAAGTGAGAGGCGAGGGCTCCGATGCCGGATGAGGGGAGGGTGTTGGGTGCCAGTGCGAGCATGCGTAGCACAAACTCCATCAACCTGTGAAAGTTGTGTGGGGAGAGAGAGTGAGGGAGGAGAGGGAGGGATGAGATGTGAGGAACGAGAGAGGGAGAATGTGTTAGTGAGAAACAGGTCGAAAGGTTGGGGGTGATAGAGGAGACGGGGGAGTTGAGGCGGATGGAGTGGGAGGGGAGGCGAGAGGTGAGGTGAGAGGCGAGGGCTCCGATGCCGGATGAGGGGAGGGTGTTGGGTGCCAGTGCGAGCATGCGTAGCACAAACTCCATCAACCTGCGGGGGAGGGAAAAAGGGGGAAGGGGGAGGAAGAGAGGGGAGGAAGGGAGGAGCGTGGGGAATATGTTAGTGGGAAAGAGAGGTGAGGTGAGAGACGAGGGCTCCGATGCCGGATGAGGGGAGGGTGTTGGGTGAAAGGGCGAGCATGCGAAGGACAAACTCCATTAACCTGTGAAAGTTGTGTGGGGAGAGAGTGAGGGAGGAGAGGGAGGGTGTTGTGTGCAAGAGCACCTCTGAATACAAGGATATACATACAGACCTCCTTCGTTTACAGGGTACATATCCCTCTTGGAGACATGGCTGCAAGAGTGTACCTAGAGGAAGAATTGAGCTTTTAAGACGAAAAAAAAAAAACACTGTCTTTCTGTAAGAAGAGCAGCAACAGCGAACCTAGAAGACACGAATTTTTGAGACATCGCAAAAAAAGAACTACCATTTTTCTAGAAAAGGGTGGAATGGCGTACCTAGAGGAAGTGCTGAGCTCGTTGTCGAAAAAGATCCCTCCGAGGAAGGGACGGAAGAAGCGGTCGATCATCTGGCATAGGAGATTCAATGGGGAAGAGGTCAAGCAGGAGGGAAGACCAGGGGAAGAGGCACACAAGGGAAGAGGCACACAAGGGAAGAGGCACACAAGGGGAGAGGCACACAAGGGAAGAGGCACACAAGGGGAGAGGCACACAAGGGAAGAGGCACACAAGGGAAGAGGGAAGGAACAGGCATTGTGAAGAGCAGGTTGGGTGAAAGTGGTGGCTCGCTGTCAAAAGAAGATCCCTCGGAGAAAGGGACGGAAGAGACAGTCGATCATCTGGCATGGCATGAGGGACCGAGACGAGAACCACGAGGCCAAAGAGGAGAAGAATGAAGCATGAGAACCGAGAATGACTTTTGAGTCAACCCAAAAGTCAACTAGGCATGAGGGACCGAGAGCCATGAGGCCAAAGAGGAGAAGAATGAAGCATGAGAACCGAGAATGACTTTTGAGTCGACCCAAAAGTCAACTCGGCATGAGGGACCGAGATGAGAACCATGAGGGCAAAGAGGAGAAAAATGAAGCATGAGAACCGAGAATGGGAGGGGGGAAGCAAGGGGCAGTAGAATCACGAGGGACTGGGCGTGGAGAATTTCGGGAGACAGTAGCCGTCCGCCATGGAGGTGCAAGGCATGGCCTTCTTGCAGTGAAAGAACTTGTCTCAATCCCACATGGAAGGTGTGGAGAACGCAGCACACACCTCATTGGGGAACCCTTGCTTCTTGAGTGCCTCCTCAATGCTGCTCTCCGGTGCTGCGAGGATTCCTTCCAGGGACGTGGAGACGGCCTTCAGGCGCAGCAGCCCCACATGCAGTTTGTCAAAGACAGAGCCAATGGGGTATGCAGTTTGCTAAAGCACACACACACACACACACACACACACACACACACACACCTCATTGGAGAACCCCTGCTTCTTGAGTGCCTCCTCAATGCTGCTCTCCGGCGCTGAGAGAATCCCTTCCACGGGCGAGGAGACGGCCTTCAGGCGCAGCAAACCAACGCGCAGTTTGTCAAAGACAGAGCCAATGGGGTTGAAGAGAGAGCCAAGGCCGTCGGAGGTGTGGCGGAAGGGGTCGGCCACCCTGGGAGGGCAGGAGAGGAAATTGGGAGCAGGAAGCAGGGAGAACGGAGCATTTAAGGCGCAGCAGCCCCACGCGCAGTTTATCAAAGACAGAGCCGATGGGGTTGAAGAGAGAGCAGAGGCCGTCTGAGGTGTGGCGAAAGGGGTCTGCCACCCTGGGAGGAGGAGAGAGGAAAGGAATGGGAGAGAGAACGGTGCATTGAGCACAGCTTTACGGCAAAGCAGCCCCACGCGCAGTAAGTCAAAGACAGAGCCGACGGATGGGGTTGAAGAGAGAGGCGAGGTCATTGGAGGTGTGGCGGAAGGGGTCCGCCACCCTGAAAGGGGAGAGGGAGGGAGAGTTGATATGAAAGGGAGCAGGGAGCATAGGAAGGGGAGCATTGGGGGGCATGGGGAGCACGGTGCATGGGTGCATGAGGGGCCATGTCGGCCATGAAAGCTTTGGAATGTGG